AGAGAGAACTCCATTTCTCTTTTCTAGTCCCTATTCAATTAAACCAATGCTGGATTTAGAGGTGGATTTGGCTTTCCTCCTCTAAAATCCAAGCACGTTGTTTAACTAAACTTTAGAGTTTCTGTATTGTATCAAGAAGCCAATTGATGTAATACAGGATAAGAGAAGAATTTGGGGACTATCTTTGTCTTTTCTTGGATCTTTCTTTCAAGGTGTGCACCCCCTCATAATTCTTATGCTCCCATGGTTGCCTTCCCCAGTGTGTGTACATACACAAGCAAACATTTCTCTGCTAACTGTTTATGTTTGAGTCCCACACAGCCAATGAAGACCTGCCTGACAGCAATCCCTGGACACCCCGGAAAGAAAATGGGCCACACCTTGAAGAGATCAATCAGCAGTCCATATGGCTAAGGTTTCTTTATTCAGATAACACCAGCCAGGTGCAAGCCAAAGTGTGCCAGGGACAGCAAGGCAGCCAAGTCAGAGAGAAGGGAGAAGAGAGTCTCCACGTGTGCTCGTTCCCTTAAGAACCCTTCCCGGGTCACCTCAGACTTCCCCTCACCACGCCCTTATGGGCGTATCCCGGCACACCTGTCCGGGCTACTAGGAGGCAGGGCTACAGTGTCTTCCTACAACACCTCCTCGACTGCACTGGATCCAACTTGCTCCATTTCAGATGACACTCCAGCCAAAGCTTCGGGTACTGACTTCAATCAAGTTGAGGATTTCAAGCGAGATCTTCAATCAAGCATATCCATCCCATCTAACATGGACTGGATACAATCCATTCAAGACTTTCACTATACTAACATTTTCTTCCTACAGGATCCCACAAGGCCTTCGTCGTCCCATTTCAGCAGGAAGTAACTTGGAGGATGCTACGCCCCCCCCCCTTTCCCCATTGTTGTCATTTAGGATACTGTATATACCTAGTTAGGGATAGCTTCCTATTGTTTATGGTTGGGATTGGAAGGAGGGGTTCAGGCTTGGACACCTTTTTCAGATGGCTTTAGGGGTTAGTTAAAATAGATAGTTAGGATGTGACGTAAGCAGATTGTTGTGTCTTCTTACATTTCACCTTTATGATTGTTAATTTTGGATACTTTACACTGTTAAGTTTTAATCTTCTTTTAGACTAAAAGGGGAATTGTAGGGGAACCTGTAGCCACGCCTGCTTAGGGACTGGCTACAGGTCTGCCTGACCATGCCTGTAAGGGCTTGGTCAGGGTGACGTAGAGTAAGAGTTTCATTTGGCTGGTTTTGCTTTCAGTTTCACCCTTTCGGCTTGTGTACAGACTGCTGCTGTGCCGGCTGGCTAGGTCACTCTATAAGTAAGGCTTTTCCCTATTAAATACCTTCATATTTCTACCTGACTCCGTATTGGTAATTTCCCACTATAATCAGTGACCCAAGCCAGGACAGTTCCTGAAAGTCCTTAATCCAGTAGCAGTCTAGTTTGTATTCTAATTTTATCCTGTAAAACCACAAGGTGGGGCAGACAAGCAACTGAGTTTTACAGAATTGACCTGCAGTCAACTGGTTGTTAAGGGCAACAACTCCATTCATTGTATTAGCACTTTCTCCAGGTCATTCTGTTTCTGGTAGTAAATGAAGTCATGCTTAGCAAATAGGCTGCACTAGCAGTGCTTTAAGCAAACCACTAAACAATCAGTAAATCAGAAGCTAATAATAGGTCTTTTCTAGTTTATTCTACTTTAAGACAAAAAAAGAAAGACACAAGGAAAGAAGCGAGGTGAGGGAGGTCCATGCCGTGGCCATCATTAGTGAGCCACAAGGAGAGAATAGAACCCTGAAAATGAATGGGAAGCAATGAGCAACTGGCATATGCTCATAGTTAGCATCTTAATAACATCTAATTTAGAAATATAATTCCGAATTTTCTTGTTTAATATCCCTGCAAAGGTATAGAAAACCAAGAAACTTTGTTTCTCTTCATATTTCTGAGTGACCAACAGTTAAATGAGGTATGGACCCACTCAAGAGCTCACTCACTGTTTATCCATTCAGCATACCGGGCCCTATTTTAGTTGTAGGAAAGAGGCAGTAGAAGGCTGATTTGCTTGTCAGAGCTCTCCTACATCTGGGGAAAGGCTGGCCTGTCAGATGGCAACACAGGAGCAAGGAAGCATAAAGCAGGTCTAGAGAGAATAAGGGCAGGCATGTGCAGGGGCAGTGATCTGTCCTGTTTTATATCATGCAGTCAGAATAGCTCTCTGGTAAGGTGAGATTTTAACAGATACCTGAGGACAGGCTAAGGAGTCTATGTATATCTGCAGACAAGTTTTTGCTATTTTTTATGGAACATCATGTATCAAGTCTCTGAGTAAGAGACATGATTGGTTCAATCAATCCCCAAGCTCCCAAAAGGGCTGTATGGAGCAAAAAAGGGTGTGTATACAAGATGTTGGGTAAAAGGAAGAGGCAATGTTGATCTCCCAAGTCCAGTGAAAGTATTTGGGCTTGTGCTTCGGTGACACAGGAAATTAGTAGGAAAAGTGAGCAGAGGGTTGATAATGACGAAGGCTAACAGTGCATAGTAAACTCATAAACCATCAGACATGAGGGAGAAGACAGGTGGGAAGCCATTGCAAGAGTCTGGGCAAGGGATTCCAGTCTATTATTGTTAGATTAGAAGTCTTCATGAATTGAGGTTCAGAATAAAACTAACAGACAGGCATTGTGGCATACACATGCCTTTTCTTCCCAACATTCAAGAACCAGAAGCAGGTGTGGATTAAGGTGTAAGGTCTCAGCTGTCCCTGCCATTATAATATGCTTCTGCTCCACCATCACAGACTCTAACCCTCTGAAAACACAAGCCAATTAAATTCTTTCTTTTAATAATAGCCTTGGCCATGGTGCTTTGTTTTAGCAGTAAGAAAAGTAACTAATATACTCCATAGAAAGTGAGTAGAAGATTCTATAGTGGAGATACTTGTATTTTAGGGAGGTGGTGGCAGGAAGTTCAATGATGTATATAAATGAATGAAATAAGTTTATGCGCCCAAAAATCTGATGTATCTTATTTTCTAATCATATCCTGATTGTGACTCTTTTGAAGAGAAAATGACTAAAGTGAGTGAAGGCCATAGGAACCTGAGGAATATTATCCATGCTTTTCAGAGCACAAATCTCACTCAGAGTGAGTGAGCTGCTCAAGTTCATGGGATTCTGAGTACTTTGCTTGTTTTTCTCCAGCATTACAAATGAATATTTCTACAAACACAGTACTTACCAAGCATTGTAGGGTAAATATCCACAAGAGAAACAAAATTTGGCACTTGTACGTTGACCTTAATTCCTGGTCCCATCATCAAAAGTGGAACATGGGCACTGGCTTCATACATACTCATTTTATAAAACTGGCGGTGTTCCATGGCCATCTCTCCATGGTCTGACGTATATATAACAATAGTTTTCTGAAGAAGATCTAATTTGCGAAGGGTCAAAATAATTTCACCTACCATAAAAATCAAGAGAGTTCTTTGGGTTAGCTTTAGTTGGTGTTTTAGTTTGCCACACCTAGTTTAAACCACTGCACCCAGAGTTTGCTGCAGTTCTCTTACCATCTGAGTAAAAGCTAATGTTCTCACATGCTTTCTCCTCAGCTCGCAGACTAGCGAGATGAAGGGAGGCAGGCAGCATCTACTGGATCACCTCTTCAGCTTCTGTCTAAGAACATGTGAGGCCAAAGGGGCATCTTCCTCTCAGTGTCTCAAATGGGGACAGACAGATGAGCTAAGATGTCATCCTGGACATGACTCAGATGTTAATGAAGATTGCTACCACTACTGACCCACACTTTCTGCGCAGTAAGAGGGGATAAGAGCAATCTGAACTTTTAGGCTATCTCTTCTCCTACGTCCTTATGCAACTGCCATTGTATCCCCCTAAGGCTGGCTTAGTTATAGATAACCCACCTTAAAGGATGAGCCATGAGCACATGGTGTGACTTGGGAATAACTGACAGTAATGTTCTGAGAGGCCTTGTCTCTTTGACTTGAAAGCTGCTTCCCATTGGAATCATGAGACCCGCAAGAAAGCATAGTGCAGAGAAAGGAGAAACTATATTTTGCTAGATCTTGAATTTGGGGTATAAAGGTCCAGTCAGAGTTGAGGTTCAATGCTCTATAGAGTTAAGACCTCATGATCTTTTAAGTGGAAAAAAGGAATTGCTTACTACATTTTTTTCTTCTCTACTCCTTTTTCCTCTCAATAGTATTCCTTGCACATTCTGATGGATACCTTATTTCTATGTGCTTGATGACAAGCACTTTACCTACCTCTTTGTGAAGCCCACATCTATGCTTTGTGGTATATCTTTCTTTGTTCTTCTTAATGTTCATGCATGGAACAGTATATGTTATAAAGTATGCAAAGTAAAAATTATAAAGTATTTTTGAAATATATTATCCATTTCTCTTTCTAAAAAAATTAAACACTAATTTAAGACATTACAATTATTTCTCCACTCCAGGGCCTTTATATTTTCTGCTTCATCTACCTAAAATGTCCTTGTTTTTGCTTTCTACATTGATGGCCTTTTCTTAGCTCACACACTACCTCTCAGGAGTATCTCCCAGATACTCTAAGTTAGTTTCCCAGTCTCACTTTTTTTTTCTAGCCTTCCACTGTTTACGTCACATCACTACAACATCTGTTCCCTTGTTCAGCATCTGCTCATTTTTTTTTTTTTTTTTGCGCTGAAGACACTTGAGGAATTGTGCTGTCCCACCTGCTACAGCACAGAGCACACAGTTTCACATGAGAAAATGTACTTGCAAACTTTTGAAAGCCATTAGGGAATGCAGATGAGTAAGCATTTCCAGTTTCAGGAAATACCAGTGAAATACAACTCAGTGGTCATGTACTATGTCAAAACTAACAGTCATAGTTATGGCTAAAGAAATGCTTAAAATACCATTATGAGGGAGAACTTGGAGCCAGGTGTGGTGGTGTACACTAATCCTAATGATTGTGAGATAGTAGCAGAAAAATCAGGAATTCAAGGCCAGCCTAAGCTACATAATGGACTCAAGGTTAGTCTCAAACACACACACACACACACACACACACACACACACACACACTGAAAACTTGA